CTGTCATCGGCCATACTTGTTCAAATGAAGCCATCATCATCAGTCTGACTTACTTTTACAGACAAAATCATAAACCTGGAAGGAACCTTAGAACATAAAATGTTCGAGTGGGAAGGGTCCCAAGATCACAGAAAGTCAGGGTTTGCAGGCCTATTAGCTTGTAGTATATGAGAACTGGAAAGAATCTTATCATAGATTGTTAGCTTGGCATGGAGGTGTCTGTATGTAAATCCATGCTAGGGGGGAGGCTAAGACTGGCAGATGACTTGAGCTCAGGAGTTCCGAGCTGCAGTAAGCTAAGCTGATTGGGTGTTTATACTAAGTCTGGTATCAATATGGTAAATGCCCGGGAGCGGGGATGAGGGTGGTACCAGGCTGCCTAAGGAGGGATGAACCAGCTCTGGTCAAAATGACTGCTGCCCTTTCATCCTGGATGATAGGGAGACCCAGGCTCCAACCTCCCTTCCTTCCCTTCCCCACCCTATCTCGTCTCATTCCTTCCCCCTCCCAAAAAACCCCAAAAAACCAAAAATGAAACACAGACTATTAAATCATAGAAAAAGAAAGGATCCAGAGCATAGGATTTTAGATTTGGGAAGAACCATAGAGATCATCTTGTTGTATTGTAGATGTTGTATTATAGAAGAGAAAACTTGAGCAGAGAAGGGAGCCGAGGCCAGATTAGACTCTAGGTCAACAGAGTCCCAGGACAAATTAAATTCTTTCACACACACACACACACACACACACACACAGACACACACACACATGTCACCCATATCAAAGAACTTATGTCTTTCCTATGCTCCCAAAGCCCAACTGTTAAGATGATGAGGGAGTCAAGCCAACATCCCACCTCCCCATCAAAGGTAGCAGCTGTTGCTTAAAAGGTAGCAGCTGTTGCTTATGACCCTAAGAAGGGCACCAGCTTCTCTCCAAGCCTTAGTCAGCTTGCCAGAGATATAGACAAAAGAAGGAACAGGCTAGTCTTAACCTGACCTGATGGTGATTTAGCTGTGGGTTTTGAAGAAGCGTGAGCCTGCAGGCAGGGGAGAACTCAGTGTTGAAGGTCAGTGATGCACTGGGGTTCAGGTTTCCCTACATCGCTATGTGCTCTCTTGTGTTATGTGGTTAACTAGGCAAGTCCGAAGTTCTAGGCACTGACTACACCAGAACACTGGGGAGTGGCCCTCAACACATCCTTCCTTATTTTCTCAGGCATTCCTATGTCAGAGTTTAACAGGCTCTGACAGTGTAAGAGAAATGTTCTGATTTACAAGTTGCTAAGTTTTGTAAATCTAATGGTATTTTTCCTCAGAGAATTTCAAAGCATCTGCAGCCCAGTGGTATGCCAAAACTAGCTCGAACATACTCACAAGAGCAGATCATTAAATTTTCAGTGTGAGCATTTATACCTTGGAAATGGGAACACACTACAAATCAGAGATTGATTGATTATTTTGTTTATATTCTAGACTTAAGAACATGATGGAGAAAATTGATGTGCAAAAATCATGCTGATTAAATTTAAGGTATGTTATGTATATAATTTTTTTCCTCAGGAGAGCTGATTGTTAAACATTTACCAGCATGTCTACTGTAGCCCTTCATATTTACCAATGTGGCAGGGATTGAACAGGAATCATTCTTTTCATTTTACAGATGGTGCAACTGAGGCACAAGGAGGTTAAGCACCTAGTCCAGAATCCCACAGCAAGTTATTGGTATGGCCAAGAATGTAACTTTTTTTCCCTCTGGTCTCCTTGCTGATTTCCATCCCTGCTTTAGAACAATGATGATTTTTTTAGGTTTGCCTCTAGTAGGTCATTATAATACCACACATAGGATGTATAGGTAGACTGCACCTTAATTCTCGTTTAACCCACTTACTTTACAGATAAGGAAAACAAGATGCAGACAAGGGAAATGATTTGCCCTGGGTCACACACCAGGATTGGAACCCAAACGAATGTTAAGCCATCTCAATATAAACAAGAAATGACTTTTAGGGAGCTGTCCAATGATACTCCAATCCTCCCACGGGTCTGTGAACTCATCCACTGCCGTTTTATGCAATTCCATTTTATGTGATAACGTTTTAAGTTGTTCTATAAATTCACCAAAGCCACTTCCCTCCCTCACATCCCAGCCAAGCATGTTGGGCATCTTCCAGTACATTCCAAATGAGGTGGGGGCTGTGAGTGATAAAACCCAATGTGATGGAAAGCGGGGAGTATCTATGATGCAGTGGATGCCCCATTTCCAACCCCTCACCCTTGCCCTGCTCCCAGAAACTTAAGCTACTTCTGTCTACAAGATATATGTTGATATACTCACGCTCCATTTGTTTTTTGATCTTTAACGTGACTGTTTCCCCTGCCATTTGGAGAAGGTGGATGGCTTCACTGAGGGGCTTGCCTTTAAGGCTCACATTATTGATGGCTAAGATGCGGTCACCAACGTGGATGGCTCCAGTCCTAGGGAGATGGCACAAAGACACAGGGACTGGCATTAGATGCAGGAAACTGTGTCTCAGAGCCCACAGTGGATACAGTCTGAAAGGTCAGACTGATCTCTTGTTTGGCATTCAAGGCCTTACAGCCTAGATAGGTAAGGGGTCGTGTGCCAGAGGAAAAAGTCCATCACTCTTGCCCACTCTTGCCATCTCTCATCTCTGTGCCTTTGCATAATGGTCTTCCATGTTTGAAATGCATTTTTTCGCCTTTATTTCTATGAAATCTATATCTATAGAATTCCAAACTTCCTTTAAAGCACAGGTGGCCTTTCCTGGTCTCCTGATCTAATTAGCATTCTCCCTCTTGAAATTACTTTGTGTCACTTTGTGTTTACTTACTTGTACACATGTTATATCCTTCAGTAGAATGTAAGCTTCCTGAGGGCAGGAGCAGTTTCATTTTTGTCTTCATATTCCTAGTGTCCAGAAGAGGAAGTACTCTAAATAATGTTTGCTCAATTGTTGAATTAAAGAATTCTCTCCGTAGGACTGGGTCTGCTCTTCCCATATTCCCTATTCTCTTCCTTCTCCTGGATCACCCAGTCATCCAAATTTGGGATAGTTCTTGCCTGCCCCCTCTTCTGCCTCCCCACCTCCCCTGCCCCTGCATAGTTTCCACTCTGCCTAGCACAACCCTACCCATCCTTCAAGGGCCATCATAAAGTACCAGATTCTCCATGATGCCTTCCTCTGACTCTTCCAGATGTCACATAAAGTACATATTATAATGTCTACTAGACAACTTATCATGTAATCGGATACATGTCTTAATGTTGTTTCCTATGTATGAGTTTTATCTGATGAACTGTGAGATTGAACTACCTAAGGACTGTGTTATTCATTTTTTCTGCATCCCCTGGAGAGCCCAGTATGATGCAACCATATCAAGGACATTTGCCAACTGAATGGTTCCCTCACTGGCCACATCATCTGTCAGGTGGCTTAGGATCTAACTAGGCTGCGTCAGGGACATTTAAGGCTTTTCTTAGCTGCTCCTTATTTTCTCTGGTAAAGTTAACTAGCCTTTGGCAATGAGTGGAGAACCTAAATGTGAAAGATCACAGACTTTAGAAGCCAGAGCTAGAAGACACCTTGGAATACAGAATGTTAGGGCTCAGAAATTGGCTCCTTCCACCCCTTCACTTTATAGATCAGGACCCTGAAGCCCAGGGGTGGGGAAGGTAAGTTGCTCGAAGTCACAAAGTTAGTTAGTATAAGTGTTGGGCAAGAGCCAAGGTCTCCCAACTCAGTGAACCATAGTGTTCTTCCTGCAGTGTTGTGGAAAGATTCTAGATATGGAGGCAGAAGATGTGGCATCAAATGCCAGATCTGTCTCAGGTGTTGGCTATGTGACACTGGGTAGGCCTCCGTCCCCTCCTCTGTGAAATGAGGTTGGACCAGGTGACCTCTCATTTCAGGTCCCCTTCAGCCCTGCGTCCAATGATCGCCTCCCCCATGCTGTTCCCTTATCACCAAATCCTTCTCAGCTGTTTCAGAACCATTCAATAATTCCTTTTCTTTCCATGCTCTTGAAGATGCAGTCTTAGCATTTTGGATCTGCCAGGGACCACAGTGGTCACCTAGCCCAAACCATCCCTGAAGAACAATTCTCTCTTCACCATATCTGATCATCTAGCCTTTGTCTGAAGTTTTCACAGAAGGGCATCTCTGTTCCCAAGGCAGCCCACTCTTTTTTGGTACAGTGCTAATCCATAGAGGTGCTTGACGACATCCAGCCTAAATCAGTCTCTTCAGTTTCCCCCACTGCTCCTTGTTCTCCTCTTGGGGGCCAAGCAGAACAAACCTAATGCCCCTTCCATGGGATACTCTTTAAATACATGAAGACAGATAGAGGTGTCCTCTAAGGCATCTCTGTTCTAGGTTCCTCTAATCAGTCCTCATATAGCAGGAACTCAAGGCCTTTCACTATGCTTACTTCCCTCTCCTAGATGTCCCCCAACTTCTCAATGTGCTTCCTAAATTTTGGGGTCCCAGACTCATCACAAAACTTTGGGACTACGTGATCTTGCCTCCCGGACATAATGCCTCTTGAGGCCACTAGGTGGCGCCATAGTGCATAGAGTTCTGGAACTGCACTCAATTTCAGCTTCAGACACTAACTGCTTCAGGTGAGTCATTTAACCTTTCTCTGTCCCCAGTTTACTCATCTGCGAAATGGGGATAATAATAGCATTACTCTCCCAGGGCTGTTGTGAGCATCAAATAAGATAATGTGTAAAGTGCTTTGACATTTGATGCTCTATTCTAACGTCCTTCCTTTTCTGCGAGCTCTAACACGTTATTCTAAGATGACTCCCAGTCCTGGCATTTTTTCTTCTAAGGGCTCCATCTTTGTCTGAAATTCTATGTTCTAAAGTCTTTTCTAGGTCTAATATACCCTATTCTTAAGCTCCTTCCAGCCCTGATATTCTCTGTTCTAAGAGTCCTCTCACACCTGACATTTGATGTTTTAAGATGCTCTGTTCTAAAGTTCCTCCTTTTTTTATAGCTCTACCATACCCTATTCTGAGATCACTTCCAGTCCTGGTATTCTCTGTTCTAAGGGGTCCTCCTAGGTCTAATATTCTTTGTCCTAAAATCCTTCCTATTTCTGACTGATACAGAGCAAAGTGAGAGAAATCAGGAGAAGGATTTATACTCTATTATCAGATTGTACAAATGAACAATTTTGAAAGACTTAAGAACTCTGGTAGCACAATAATTAGTTATCATTCCTGAGGACCAATCATGAAGAGTGTTTTTCAATAGAGAGGAGGTGGGCATAAGATGGAGAATGAGACATACATTTTTGGACATGGCTAATATTGCTTAACTATGCTTATTTGTTAAAATAATCTTGTATTTCTTTATTTTTCTCCAGTGGTTAGGATAAAAAATAAATGTTAAAAATTGAAAAAAATTGTAAAAATGAAATTTGATTAAAGCTAAAATGAAAGTTAGATCAGATAATCTCTAAGGTCCTTTTCAAAGCTAAGTATGTGATCTATTGATGATCTACCTAAGTCTGCTCAGTTATGAGTTATGGCTTCTATTGAATTCTAGGCATAATTCTGATCTGTAAGAAAAGCATATTTTCATAGGATCACACATTTAGAGCTTGAAGGGACCCTTGAGTCCAGCTTTCTCATTTTATTTTATTTTATTTTATTTTATTTTATTTTATTTTATTTTATTTTTAGGCAATTGGGGTTAAGTGACTTGCCCAGGACCACACAACTACTAAGTGCCAGGTGTTTGGTCTCAGGCCTGATTTGAACTCAGGTCCTCCTGACTTCAGGGCCAGTGCTTTATCCACTGTGCCACCTAGCTGCCCTAAACTCTCTCATTTTAAAGATGAGGAAACTGAGGCAAAGAGAAGTCAGTGATGTGCCCAAGGTCCCACAGAAAATAAGTTGCAGAGCTGAGATTCAAACCCAGGGCTTTTGATGCAAGCCCCAGCTCTCTTTCTACTATATCAATACTATCTCTGTCCCCCTTTCCAAAAAAGGCTGGTGAAATGTCCCTTCCTTTTGTAGATTTTTGTCCACAGAATAACCAGAGGTCTTGGAGATCTAGATGTGCTTCAAGTCAAAGATAGCAAACTTTGCCTCAATGTCTGAATAAATTTCCTACAATATTGGAAGGTGGGGAAAAAAGCAGTGGAATCCCTTAACACTTAGTGTCTTTAAGTGGAGGCAGGGTGGGTACTTGTCAAGGATGTTGTAGATGGGATTCATGCCTGGGCTCAGGACTGGACTAGGTGACTTTGGACATCTCATAGGTCTCTCCATTTCTTGGATTCTGAAGACTACCCTTAAAAGCCTGCAGTCCTTAAATTCTCCACTAGGTGCCAGCACTGGCCTCCCCGTTCATGCCCAGTCTTAGCAAAAGTCATAAGAGAAATCCATTTACACTCAACAGAGGATGTTTTCCCATTAAAGAATCATTTGTGGGGTTTTATGAAGCTAACGGAGGAGCCCATCTGGGCCCAAAGTGGTCAATTAACTCTGAGAAGTTTCAAGGCTGACATTTTTCTTTCATTTGCTATTTAACTAGACTGGTTATGGAGCAAGAGGCAGTAACTAATTGATTTCTCCTTCATTTAGCTTATTTACATCCCAGCTCTTATCTAGTGAGAAGAACATGGGACTGGGAACTCTGAGTTCAAGTCCTAGCTCTGCTACCAAGTCAGGATGGGAGACTTTATTCCTCTGGGTTCCTGGGAGCCAGAACTCTGGAAAACAGACATTTGGCTAAGATTTACCTCACTGCTACCAATGAGGACATGGATAGGGCAAACAGGGTAATAAAAGGCGTGTTCAACCTAATCAAGGGAACAATATTACCCATTCCTTTAGCAACATCCACCAAAATGTAGAAATATGAATATACTAATTATAGATCACCCATAACTCTTCATTGAAGCAACTTTCTTAAGGATCTCTATTTGAAAATATGTAAATTTCATAGAATAATGGGGTTGGAACGATCTCAGTGGCCAACTTATCCAACCCATAACAGAGAAAGAATTCTTCTACATTATAAATGACAAGTAGTCATTCAACCTCTTTCAGAATATCTGCAAAGAAGGGGAAATCATTGCTTCATGATACATCCCTCTCCCTACTTTGAGATAATTCTATTCATTATGAAATGTTTCCTTTCATTGAGCTTAAATTCTTCTTTGCGACTTTCACCATTGTTTTTAGTTTTGTCTTCTGGGCCCCAACCGAATTAATTGAACTCTTCTCATGACACTCCTTCACCTCCTTGAAGAGAGCTCTCATGTTTCTCTACCTCTCTTCATCCCCAAAATCTAGGCTGTAATAATCCTTTTGAATCCTGACTCTGTCATCCAGTGTGGTACTTACTCCTCTCAGCTTTTTTCCACCTGACAATTTGAAAAGCAAGCCATCCTATGCCTCTATCTAATCATTGATTAAGATGACAAGGTTACAGGGT